GTCTGGCGCATGGTAGGCTTTGGTGGGTGACATCTTGGCTTCTCGGATAGTCGTGTCACCTCAGATAGTGGAGCTAGAACACACTGCTTGTGCCCCCACCTGCTGGCTTCAAGGACACGGAAGAGCCTACCAGCACTTGATGACATAAGCAAAGTTGGTGGGTTTGGCGTATGGTAGGCTTTGGTGGGTGAAGTCTCAGCTTCTCGGATAGTTGTCACCTCAGACAGTGGAGCTAGAAAACACTGCTTGTGCCCCCACCTGCTGGTTTCAAGGACCCGGAAGAACCTACCAGCTGTTGATGAAATAAGCAAAGTTGGTGGTAGTGGTGGTGGGTCCGGCGTTTGGTAGGCTTTGGGTGACATCTCGGCTTCTCGGATAGTTGTCACCTCAGTGTAGCTAGAACACACTGCTTGTGCCCCCACCCGCCGGCTTCAAGGACCTGGAGGAGCCCATCTCCATGACATAAGCAAAGTTGGTGGTTGGTCTGGTGTATGGTAGGCTTTTGTGGGTGATGTCTCAGCTTCTCAGTTGTCACCTCAGTGAAACTAGAACACACTGCTTGTGCCCCCACCCGCCGGCTGCAAGGACACGGAAGAGCCTACCAGCCCTCGACGACATAAGCAAAGTTGGTGGGTCTGGTGTATGGTAGGCTTTGGTGGGTGACGTCTCGGCTTCTCGGATAGTTGTCACCTCAGATAGTGGAGCTAGAACACACTGCTTGTGCCCCCACCCGCCGGCTGCAAGGACACGGAAGAGCCTACCAGCTCTCGATGACATAAGCAGAGTTGGTGGGTCAGTCATATGGTAGGCTTTGGTGGGTGAAGTCTTGGCTTCTCGGATAGTTGTCACCTCAGATAGTGGAGCTAGAACACACTGCTTGTGCCCCCACCCGCCGGCAAAGAAGGTGGTGGTGGTGGGCTGACGTATGGCAGCCTTGGGAGGGTTGCAGCTGGACAAATCTGGATCTTCTGGACTTTAGAATGATGTTCTTTGAGGATAATTCAGGAAACCACATAAGTAGAGAGAGAAGAAAAATATCACCAAGAGGGGCGAAGCTCCTCTTCTTTTACAGGATGACTTTTCTTGGCAAATGTAATGGAGGAACTGAGTTCCTGTCCGCGATGCGGTGAGAGATGTATTTTTTTTTTTTTTTTCTGCTTATTTCCTGCCAGAAGTATAAAGGACGCGGGGTGTTGTTGTCCTTTATAATCCGTTGTTTGCTTTCATTCTCAGACATCAGAAAGACCAAAGTAGTGAAGTCTATTGGCAGCGCTTTCATCCAACGCATGTAGTCAGACGCCGGAGCCCAGATCCCTCCGCCTTGATTTTCTGAGATTTGTTTGTGCTGACTCTGATTTCGTGGGTGTCTGTAAATCCACAAAAGCGGGTTTTGGTCTGTTTTATCCGGAATGAAGAAAGAGTGTCTGACAGGTGTGGCAGGAGATCTTTTTTAACCACTTGAGCTCCTGAGGATTTACCCCCCTTAATGACCACGCCTCTTTTTGCTACTCGGCGCTGCACTATTTCAACTGATAATTGCGCGGTCATGCAATGCTGCACCCAAACGAAATTTACGTCCTTTTTTTCACACAAATAGAGCTTTCTTTCGGTGGTTTTTGATCACCTGTGCACTTTTTATTTTTCACGCTATAAACAAAAAAAACGCCAAACATTTTGAAGAAAAACAATATTTTTTATTTTCAGCTATAAAAAATATAGTAAACTCAAAGTTAGTTATAAATTTAGGCCAAAATGTCTCCAGCTTCATGTTTTTGGTAATAAAAATCCCAATAAGTGTATATTGATTGCTTTGTGTGAAGTTATAGCGTCTACAAACTATGGTATAGATGCTGCAATTTACGCCATTTTTCTGCTGTACAGCACTGCGCTAGTTTAACGGACAATTGCGCGGTCATGCAATACGGTACATAAATGAAATTCACATCCTTTTTTTCCCACAAATTGAGCTTTCTTTCGGTGGTATTTGATCGCCTGTGCGGTTTTTATTTTTTGCGCTATAAAAAAAAAACCTGAAAATTTTGAGGAAAAAAAACTATTTTGGACTTTTTGATATAAAACATGTCCAGTAAAAAAAAAATATGCAAAAATCAAATTTAGTCATAAATTTCTGCCAAAATGCATTCTGCGACGTCTTTGCTAAAAAAAAAACCCAATACGTGTAAATTGAATTGGTTTACGTGAAAGTTATAGCATTTACAAATGGCGGGAAAGATACTGGAATTTTTAGGGTTTTTTTTTATACTAATAATGGCGGCGATCAGGGAATTATGGCAGCGACCAGCGACTTATGGCGGGACTGCAGCGGACATTCTGACATTGGGGAATACTGACTTGGGGTCACTGACATCCCCAAAAACACAAATAGACAGTGATCAGTGCAAAAAAAAAAAAACTGACACTGTACTAATGGCACTGGGGAGGAAGGGGTTAACTTTATTTTGCAGGGAAGGGTTATAGGAGTGAGGGGAGTGTTTTACTAGGGGGCGGGGTGTGTACTGGGCGGGACAAGGCTGATCGAGAAAGTGAAACTGTTCTTTCTCGATCAGCGTCATCCTCGAGCTGACAGAGAGTGACAGACAGCACAGCTACTGCAGCTGTGCTCTCTGTCACCGATTGCCGCCGATCGCCGGGACATAGCCGCTAATGAGCGGCTGTGACCCGGCAACTGACATCTGCGGCGGTGATCCGCAGGACAAATAGGGTGGCAGCGCGCCTCGCGCGCCCCTATTTGTTTACAAAACACACGTTTTAAAACGTGGTTTTGCCTGTGAGTGCCGCCCTGCCGCCGTATATGTACAGTGAGTGGGCGGCATGCGGTTAAAGCCTTAAAGCACAGATTAAAGGCAGTAGTAAAATGGTGCGAGAAAAGCATAAAGCCCAACTCAAGGAAGAAAATGTTAAAAGGTACATCACTTACCTCATTAAAATAAAAAAACAAAAAAGAGGGCGCACCGACCTAGTGCATTATTGTTTAAAAATATTTATTGAAAGAACAACGTAAGTATCATACTCACAATGGACGTAAGGCTCTGAGGAAGAGGTTGTGTCCTCGAAACGCGTTAGCCAGTTGGTCATCCCAGGGTTCCATCGTATGGACTCAGGTGCTGTTTGGATCATACATCTTGTTCAGTTTGACATGCCTGTGTTTTTATGTCCATTGTGAGTATGATACTTACTTTTGTTCTTTAAATAAATATTTTTAAACAATAATGCACTAGGTCGGTGCGCCCTCTTTTTTGTTTTGTCCATTTGCATTTAGTGAATTTGGACCACCATGGTCTGTTGAGGGCAGCAAGCAGTTCATATTCCAGAACATTCTTATTGGTTCCACCGAGTCCATTCCCAGCACAGGAGAAAAGTGTTTGCTGTGTTGGATTTGACATCACTCACCTTACTCCTCGGTTCTGATTCCAGACCGTTGTCCTGAGCCATCCTAGGTGTGAAGGATCAACGTCGCGGTTCCCCCTATGAGCCAAGCCAATCTCCTGCCCTGGGGATCAGACGTATTTTGCTGCCTTTTTTCTTCTTGGGCGTTGGTCCCCTCACCGTCCCCATGAGTACTCCTGCCCTAAGAGGGCCTGGCCACTGGAAGTGTTGTCTCCACCAATAGAAGGTGTGCACATAAAGAAGGCAGCTATTTAGACACCCAAAGAAGGACCCTTGGAAGTAAATCCAAGAAGAGAGAAGTATCATGTGACCGTGGCTTCATTTGGGCCCTCGAACCCCTCGTGTATTGTATTGTTACCGTCTTGTCTCATGTTCTGTCCCCCACTATAATGTACAGCGCTGAGCATACCCTTTGGCGCTATATAAATACTTATAATAATAATTTAAGTGGAACTAAAGGCTTTAACATCCGGTCCATGTCTATAAACGGCCAGACGGTGGCAGTGCAGGGTCAGGTGACCATTTTATAAACGTCCTCCCCGCCCCTTGCTTGTGCGCACTCCCTGGGAGCGTGCAGCACCGCGATCCGGTGCCGCTGTGTTCTCCGGACACAGTGGAACACCGACCGTCAGATGGGACCTCTGTGGGAGGTCCCGATCATGTGATCACCTATTGGCCAATCAGTGATCACATGCAGAGTAGTAAGCAAGATGTCACTTCTGACATCATTGCTTACGTGTGAAATCTGCGAAGGATCACAGAGGTCACATGGTACAGGGCCATTCACAACAGCCTTGTACCATGTGACAAGCTGTGACCAAGCACAGCTCACTCAGTAGTTCTCAATGGCTGCAAGAATGCAGCCAGAGAGAAGGAGAAATTATTGATTTTACAGCCTTTATGGGTATAAAAGCAATCAGTGTAAAAAAAAAAAAAATCTTCATCACCCCCCACAAGTAGTACAGAGTCAGAGACGTGGAGGTTCATTGAGAACTACAAGCCGACATCTGCAAAGACGACCAGGACTTGTAGTTCATTCATTCAGAGAACACTGTGAATGAATGATGTGGACGTGTGGGCGGAGCCCTGCATGGCCGTGTCGTTTAAAAAAAAAAAAAAAAAAAAAAAAAAAAAAAGTCCACTAGTAACTTCTCCCTGTATTCCTATGGGGGGAGTTTGAGAATTCAGTGGCAGCTGCAGGGGAGTTGGAAATCGGGCAGCGGCTGCTTTTAACATTCGATTTTAAAATGTAAATTCTGAACGATCTCCACATACACCGGCCGGAAATTTGATCAAAACGAGTTTTTCTTTCTGCCCATTAGAATGTTCCCATCGCTGCTGTAGGAAATGAACGTCGATTTGACCCCATTAACGATTAGAAAATCAAACTAACATTCTTCAAATGAAAATACTCCCGACAGCTACGATCTCCATCTTGGAAGTCTCCTGTGACCCCAATTTATCTTTTGAAGGCCAAGCTGACATGGAACAAATGAATGCCTGTCAGCAATCCTACACGACAAACTGGCCCTCTGAGAAAACATGGGATTCGTGGATCAGATCTCTAACGGACCCCCCATGACTCGGAAGGCTATATTGCCCAAAATATTGAAACCCCCACCCTCCCCCCTTCAAATCATGTGATTCAGGTGTTCCAATCCCCTCCATATCATGTGATTCAGGTGTTCCAATCCCCTCCATATCATGTGATTCAGGTGTTCCAATCCCCTCCATATCATGTGATTCAGGTGTTCCAATCCCCTCCATATCATGTGATTCAGGTGTTCCAATCCCCTCCATATCATGTGATTCAGGTGTTCCAATCCCCTCCAAATCATGTGATTCAGGTGTTCCAATCCCCTCCCAATCATGTGATTCAGGTGTTCCAATCCCCTCCATATCATGTGATTCAGGTGTTCCAATCCCCTCCCAATCATGTGATTCAGGTGTTCCAATCCCCTCCCAATCATGTGATTCAGGTGTTCCAATCCCCTCTATCTCATGTGATTCAGGTGTTCCAATCCCCTCCCAATCATGTGATTCAGGTGTTCCAATCTCCTCCCAATCATGTGATTCAGGTGTTCCAATCCCCTCCATATCATGTGATTCAGGTGTTCCAATCCCCTCCATCTCATGTGATTCAGGTGTTCCAATCCCCTCCAAATCACGTGATTCAGGTGTTCCAATCCCCTCCATATCACGTGATTCAGGTGTTCCAATCCCCTCCATATCACGTGATTCAGGTGTTCCAATCCCCTCCATATCACGTGATTCAGGTGTTCCAATCCCCTCCATATCACGTGATTCAGGTGTTCCAATCCCCTCCATATTATGTGATTCAGGTGCTCCAATCCCCTCCATGGACACAGGTGTATACAATCAAGTCCCTAGGCATGCAGACGGCTTCTACAAACATTGGTGAAAGAATGGGTCGCTCTCAGGAGCTCAGTGACTCCAAGCGTGGTCCCGTGATAGGTGGCCACCTGGGCAATAAGTCCATCCGTGACATTTCCTGGCTACTAAATATTCCACGCTCAACTGTTAGTGGGATTATAACAAAGTGGAAGCCACTGGGAACAACAGCCACTCAGCCACCAAGTGGTAGGCCACGTCACATGACAGGGCGGGGTCAGCGCATGCTGAAGCGCACAGTGCGCAGAAGTCGCCAACTGTCTGCAGAGTCAATAGCTAAAGACCTCCAAACTTGGTGTGGCCTTCAGATGAGCCCAACAACAGTGCGTAGAGAGCTTCATGGAATGGGTTTCCATGGCCGAGCAGCTGCATCCAAGCCTTCCATCACCAAGTGCAATGCAAAGCGCCGGATGCCGTGGTGTAAAGCACGCCGCCACTGGACTCTAGAGCAGAGGAGATGTGTTCTCTGGAGTGACCAATCACGCTTCTCTGTTTAACGTGTCCCCCCCCTGTGCTCACATATAGTGGTGAACGCATACATAGGCCACGCCCACATATGTAAACTGTGTTCAAACCACACACGAGGTATTGCCATGAATGTCGGAGCGAGCGCAATAATTATCACACTAGACCTCCTCTGTGATGTCACTCTGCTAACCTGTAGTCGTTTTTAAACCATCACCCATGGAGATTTTTAGGTACCGCAATTTCACGCCATTTCACGAGCAAGCACAATTTTAAAGTGTGACATGTTGGGTATCTATTTACTCGCCGTAACATCCTCTTTCATATTTTGCTAAAAAGTTGGGGTATATATATATTTTTTTTTTGCTTTTTTGTTTTAATCAAAGTGTGTTTTTTTTCCCAAAAATATGTATTTATTTTTAAAAAACTGCTCATTTCGGTTTTCGGCCAAGTGCATTTTGAATTTTCGTTTTCCGCACCAGTTTCGGCACCAGAATTGTTTCATTTCGGTGCACCACGACCTGGATGGGTATGAAGTTGGAACGGTTTTCTCTGTCCCATGTGTTTCCGGGATGATTTTTGTACTTGTATCATTGGAAATGAAAATTCTTGAATGAAAGTCTGTTGGTGTATGGGCAGCTAAGAACAGATACGGTTTGTTTAGTGTCGCTTTAAGGAATGTTTCCCGTCTGAGGTGTGGAGGCGTGTTTCGTGTTTTTCTTGCGTTGGGAATAATAGGCGGCAGGTTTGGTGATTACAAGTGATTGCAATAAGCGGGATATGTCACCGCAGCTCCTTCATCCTGATTGCAGTAAAGTTCGATCTGCGGAGAATCTTTGATGAATTGTACTCGTCCTGTCTGGAGTTCCGGAATGGAACCTTCCTATACCGACGGGACTGGGGCAGGCAACGAAGCCGTACTCCTCACACGTTGTCTGGCCGCAATGTCCGGGTTGGTGGAAGTGATCCTGGGTGGTGGGATGAGCCGCGGGAGTGTGACTCCTGATCAGGGAAGTGGTGTCTCTCCTCTCACATAGCAAGCTGTTCCCGGGTGACCACGCTGCATGCCGTCACTGAATCACAGCATGTCGGAGCGAGCCCCCTACAATGGTGGGAGTGTGGGATCGTCTGACATTACACGCTGCTGAGCTCACGCCTCTCACCACCTCTGGTGTGTCACTGAATGAAAACGTATGGCAGAGCGAGGATGGAGAAAACCGATGCAGTGCGTCTCTGCGCTGCATGCACGTCGCCCATGTGTGGGATCTCAGGCACGCCACCCATGTGTGGGATCTCACGCACATCACCCATGTATGGGATTTCACGCACATCACCCATGTGTGGGATCTCAGGCACATCACCCGTGTATGGGATCTCACGCACATCACCCATGTATGTGATCTCAGGCACGCCACCCATGTGTGGGATCTCAGGCACATCACCCGTGTATGGTATCTCAGGCACGCCACCCATGTATGGGATCTCAGGCACGCCACCCATGTATGGGATCTCAGGCACGCCACCCATGTATGGGATCTCACGGACATCACCGATGTATGGGATCTCACGGACATCACCGATGTGTGGGATCTCACGGACATCGCCCATGTGTGGGATCTCACGCACGTCGCCAAGCGTGGGATCTCACGCACGCCGCCGAAGCGTGGGATCTCACGCACGCCGCCGATGTGTGGGATCTCACGCACGTCGCCCATGTGTGGGATCTCACGCACGTCGCCCATGTGTGGGATCTCACGCACGTCGCCCATGTGTGGGATCTCACGCACGTCGCCCATGTGTGGGATCTCACGCACGTCGCCCATGTGTGGGATCTCACGCACGTCGCCCATGTGTGGGATCTCACGCACGTCGCCCATGTGTGGGGATCTCATGCGCGCTGCCCATGTACCCTCCACGACGAAGCCCTTTGGGTGCGGCAAAACGCATCAGGGGTGCGACCTAGATGGAGCCGGGCTAAAAAGCCATGTTTATTCTGCATTGGAGCTGTGCTGGTGTACGGTGATTGGATTTTTTTTCTCCCCCCCCAACCCCAGGAATACTCTTAACTTGGTTGCAGAGGACAATTGATAAAGGTTTATCTGAGTGCTCACCTTGAGTTAAACATTGTTGCAGAGCTGCTTGGATAGCATCTGAATATCTTCATCCTTCGTTTAATTACCCTGAAATTCTTTATTTGGGTTGCTTATCTTGTAACTCATGTTGCATTAGCAGTTTTACAGCACAGGTGCTGATTGCACCACCTTACCAACCATTCATTGTCCGACACCCCTCCACTGACCTCCATTCGATGTCCTCCACCCCACTCCACCAATCCCACTGGCCTCCACTCAGTGTCCTCCACCCCCCTCTGCCAATCCCTCCACTGACCTCCACTCAGTGTCCTCCACCCCCCTTCTGCCAATCCCTCCACTGGCCTCCACTCAGTGTCCTCCACCCCTCTCTGCCAATCCCTCCACTGCCCTCCATTCAGTGTCCTCCACCCCTCTCTGCCAATCCCTCCACTGACCTCCACTCAGTGTCCTCCACCCCTCTCTGCCAATCCCTCCACTGGCTTCCACTCAGTGTCCTCCACTCCTCTCTGCCAATCCCTCCACTGGCCTCCACTCAGTGTCCTCCACCCCCCTCTGCCAATCCCTCCACTGACCTCCACTCAGTGTCCTCCACTCCTCTCTGCCAATCCCTCCACTGGCCTCCACTCAGTGTCCTCCACCCCTCTCTGCCAATCCCTCCACTGCCCTCCATTCAGTGTCCTCCACCCCTCTCTGCCGATTCCTCCACTGGCCTCCACTCAGTGTCCTCCACCCCTTTCTGCCAATCCCTCCACTGGCCTCCACTCAGTGTCCTCCACTCCTCTCTGCCAATCCCCACTGGCCTCCACTCAGTGTCCTCCACCCCTCTCTGCCAATCCCTCCACTGCCCTCCATTCAGTGTCCTCCACCCTTTCTGCCAATCCCTCCACTGGCCTCCACTCAGTGTCCTCCACTCCTCTCTGCCAATCCCTCCACTGGCCTCCACTCAGTGTCCTCCACCCCTCTCTGCCAATCCCTCCACTGCCCTCCATTCAGTGTCCTCCACCCCTCTCTGCCAATCCCACCACTGCCCTCCCTTTGCCCAACAAATAAAATTCAAAACACTAAACATGCAAAGCCATTTACAACTTTGCCCAGAGCTACATCACCATTCTAGTCTCCAAATATCACTTAAGCAGTCCTCTCCACTCCTCCCAAAACGACCTGCTCTCCAGCTCCCTTGTCTCCTCCTCCCATGTGTATCTTCAGGACTTCATCAGAGCCTCTCCCATCCTATGGAACCTCCGTACCCCAATCTGTCCAAATATCTTCTATTTTGTCCATCTTTAGGTGATCCCTGAAAACTCATCTCTTCAGGGAAGCCTATCCCACCTCCACCTAACAACTGAACTTGCATTTTCTCCATCAGCTCATCCCCCCCAGTTATTACCTTTTTGTTACACCAGCCCCTCCCTCTTATTTCAGGTACTTATATAGCAACGTCAGTTAACACAGCACTTTACATATATATTGTACATTCCCATCAGTCCCCGCCCCCGAGGAGCGTACAATCTAAGGGTCCTAACTCCCATTCATACATACACATACTAGGGACAACTTAGGAGCCAATTAACCTGCCAGCATGTCGTGTGGAAGAAAATCAGAGTACCCCGAGGAAAGCCGCACAGGGAGAACGTGCAAACTCCAGGCAGGTAGTAGTTTGTTGCTCCCGGCACCCGCGCGCCCCCGCGTCCTCTTGTAAGCTCCCGGCACCTGCACCTCCCGAATCCTCTTGTAAGCTCCTGGCACCCGCGCCCCCCCCCCCGCCTCCTCTTGTAAGCGCCCAGGCCCCCCCGCCTCCTCTTGTAAGCGCCCAGGCCCCCCCGCCTCCTCTTGAAGCGCCCAGGTCCCCCGCGTCTTCTTGTTACGCTCCCGCGTTTCCTTCATGTTACGCTCCCGCGCCCCCCGCGTCTTCTTGTTACGCTCCTGCGTCTTCTTGTTACGCTCCCGCGCCCCCCGCGTCTTCTTGTTACGCTCCCGCGTTTCCTTCATGTTACGCTCCCGCGCCCCCCCCCCCCGCGTCTTCTTGGTACGCTCCCGCGCCCCCGCGCGTCATCTTGTTACGCTCCCGCGCCCCCCCGCGCGTCGTCTTGTTACGCTCCCGCGCCCCCGCGTCGTCTTGTTACGCTCCCGCGCCCCCCCGCGTCGTCTTGTTACGCTCCCGCGCCCCCCGCGTCGTCGTCTTGTTACGCTCCCGCGCCCCCCGCGTCGTCTTGTTACGCTCCCGCGCCCCCCGCGTCGTCTTGTTACGCTCCCGCGACCCCCGCGTCGTCTTGTTACGCTCCCGCGTCCCCCCGCGTCGTCTTGTTACGCTCCCGCGCCCCCCCCCCCCGCGTCTTCTTGTTACGCTCCGCGCCCCCCCGCGTCTTCTTGTTACGCTCCCGCGCCCCATCGCGTCTTCTTGTTACGCTCCC